GCCCTGGGATCGATCCTCGTCGACACGGAGGGACATTATTTATTTATTTGTCACTGGGGTGGGAAAGACTTTGTCAATGGGACGATTGGGCTGAGCTGATTGAATCACTGGAGTTGCCCGGGTGTCCTACGTGACAGTTTAATCATTGCCCTAGCAGTGTAGCAGATTGCATGCAACCTTAACTTAACTCTGTGAGTGGCTAGATCACATAAAACACCCACACCTTTTAACCCCGCGTTCACGCCATTTATAGCTTCATCCAGGACTGAATTAATATATATACGACGGTATTTATAGTGATTTTATTTTCTTGTTTGATGAACACTTCTGTGTCAAGGACTTAGACGGTGGTTTTTTGTTTGTTTGTTAATTTTACTGTTGTATTAAATGCAAAAGCGGAAGCACAAATGGTGTCAATTTGCCAAAGAGAAAAGTTGTAGCCAAAACCAGTGTACTGTACAGAACCCAACAGAGAATGTCTGTACCCGTTATTTCTGCTCACACTTTACCTTACTTCAAAATGCAAAAATGCGTTTGCTAAGCTGTACAAACTAGTGTTGTGAATAAATTTGTATTGTACAAACAGCGGTTGTATGCGGGCTCGTGAACGGTTAAGATAACGATCAGACGGAATCACCAGCCCTTTTCTTACTTCTCAAAACCTTCCACATTTTACAGCTCTCCTGAGAAACGTTGCAAAAAAAAACCAAACTTTCCCGTGTAAATCAGTGGTACGTGACCTCTGCAGTGTGAGCGTGTGTTGCGCGTTATATACACATGCGCGTACTTACATGGGGAAATAAAAACAAGTGTTATGTAAGTAAATTAATAACACTTGTCTTGACGAAGGTACCCCGTGGTAACACACAGCAAATTGAGAAATTACCTTTATACTTATTTAATCGGATCTCTTTTGCAAAGAAGACATGCCGACTCAAAGTGCACTCGCCTGTGAACACGAGTGATGCAGATAAGGCATGTGTTCTACGTGGGAGGTTGTGTGTTTTATATTGACAGTGCAGCATTTGACCCTGCTCGTAATTTTTTTTTTTACAGAAAATGCTGCTTAAGAAAGCGATGAGTAATGTTAATAAGATGTGATGTTTGCTTTGACGCAGCGTACCTTTTAAAATTGTCAAGTAAATCTGAGTTTGCACCCACCTATGTATGTACTGTATGTATATCTGCACACACACACACACACGCAAAGTGTGCCCTTAAACCGTTTTGTGTTTCCATAATATTTTTGTACATAAATGTTTGATTTCTCGCGCAAAGTCCAAATGAAGAAAAATATTATGCCTGTTGGTTTACAAGTGATTAATTGGAGCAGTAATTCCTCGCAGAAGGCATTCGTCATCGCGGAGAGTTATTTTCTGGGCATTCAGGCAAACAAACAGAAACTCTTCCCATGTGTTTCTTATTGAACGTGGAGGTGCGTTGATTGAACGCCCTTTTCGTGACGAATGATTCCTCGGGCCAGCGCTTTGATCGCACAAAAATACACAACACGGTCGAGCCGAAGCAAAGGAAAACACTCGAGAGTAACATAAATATGAAGTAGCGAAACGACGTCGCACTCAGAAATATTCTCAAACAAGATACAATTACCTACGCCTCAACAGACGTTTAACCAAACGGGCGGAGGAAAAAGAAAAAGAACACAAAATCGTAATTCACAGTAACTAACGCTGCCCTAATCTCAAGTTATGTCCGTATATAACATTTTCTCTCCTTCCTGCCAGCAATCTTGGCACATTTTTGCGAGCTAAATAATGCTGCTTTTCTTCTTCTTCTTCTTCTGTTACCACATTTCCTAACCAGACGGGCCCATTCTTAGGGCGATTAAAATATTTTGGCGGAAGATAAATGTGCGCGCTCGACGGTCGGGGCTGAGAAAGATCCAATATTTTGTTGCTTGGCGCAGAGCAGTGTCGGAGTGTTGCTCGACGCGTCTGTGTGTGTGTGTGTGCCCAAAAAATAAAGGATATTCGGGGGGGGAGAGTGAGTTGATAATTGGGACTGACAAAGCAACCTTAGCAAAACTCAGCCAATTTTAAACAAAATTTCCCAAATGTGCGGAAGGGTGTCGCGCTGCTCCGCGGGGTATTTTGTACCGGAATCGGCATCCGAACGCCCACAAAATGTCTCCTTGTAGACGTTTATAAGCTGCAACGTTACAAAAGCGCGTGCGTGAGCTGCAGTGCATTGTCGGGCACAGGCGCATAGAGGCACAACCGTTCATATACCAACACAAAAACTATAGGCAGCAGGTAATGTATCTCTGTGGGTTGCTGCTACGAATTAAATCTTTGAATGCAGTTCAGATTATCTAGTGATTTCTTCGGCTCCACCAGTACCCTCTAACACTGAGGCTCAGTGTGTATTTATTAACATTCAGCAATTCAAGATGTATTACTGTATTACATAATGGGCATAATTATCATGACTAAAACTAGGAAAATAAAGAACCCTTATGAAAGTTATCTTTGTTAAAATACCATTATTTTTTGTAATTGGGTTTAAGGCCAAAATCATTCAAGGGCTAATATGGACCACATTTCTCCCAGTGTTTTACAAATCCCGGAAAGCGGCCTTCAACCGCAGAATATAGTTTTTCCCCGCTGATTAAAGTGTATCGTATGAAGTTGTACATCAAAAAAAGTAAAACACAAAAAGCAAATCCAGCCGACTTTTACAGGACACTGTTACAGAAGCCCTGTAAAACAATCTTGGCATGGAGAAAAATTGCGTGTAAACCACTTGCTGATTGCATATTATTACCATATCTGGCGAGTGGAAAGAATCAATCAGCCAGATTAGGAACAGCTTCGTAGATCTATACGCCCGCTGCAGTATATAACCTTACTTAGGAACACATTGCCCCCCCCCACCCAGTCTTGCTAAGCCCTGCTTGATGAATGAGCACCGTTAGCTCACGGACTGCCCTGACATGGGCAGAAGAAAAAAAAAGGTGGCAGGAAGGATGTAGTTTTATGGAGTCTAGACTCTTGCACGGCCATTTAAGTCTGGCTCTGTCATTGCGCGGTAACACGTGCACGCGGAGTCGCACGACTAAAGCCATCACACCTGCCGTGCCAGCCTCTGGGGGCCAAGCCCAGCCCAATGCGTTATCAAACGGCGGCACTCGCAATTTCGGGAAAAGAGGAGCGAACGTCGAAAGGGTCATTGGCGACTGTCATTGTGGTCACGGGCGTAACGAACGGAAAGCGAGAAAATCTGCGAACTGTGCACGCGCGTTGCTTTTAGTCCTGGAAGTAACGCATTTTTTTGCAACTTTTTTTTTTCCAAATATGAATTGGACGGGGAGACCTTGTTTTATTTTTCAGTAGCTCTCAATACTGCTCGCTCTGAACACGGCTACCTCCATTTTAATCCTGGCCATGGCTAACATCAGCGGCAAATGCTGACCAAAGCAGTCCGGTCCCTCCTTACCCTCCCCCCACCACCCTTCCTCTTTTTTTACCAACATCAGAATCTGTATTTATACTGGAGGAATCCGGTGAGCTATAGATCATTTTTTCACATGCACTGACCAGTGTAGTGAAGGATGGTCAAAGAGCCCTCATGACCGACACGGCGTAGGGAGTCATCATCCAGCAGTGGACTCACAGGAATTTGCGTTTCGTTTTTGAGTTTATTTCATTTGTGAATCCCGTTTGGCCAATTGCCCAGTTCGAAAAGGGCCTCGGTGGAGATGCGTGGTGCCTGAGCAGCTGGGCTGTACTTACAAGACCGGAGACAACGGTGTCAAACAAGGCGGCTCTGAACCAGCAATGGAAATGATTGACGTGAGTGAGATTGCGGGCCACATCCAACATCAGTGGCGAAAATATCTGAACGGGTCCCAGGCCTCCTCTAGGTCAATTCTGCTTTACGTGAACTCATGATGCAATGCGTCGCCTAATCCTCAGCATTGGGAAGACAAAGGTGGTCAGGCGTGGTTTTATAGCCATTCCAGCCCATCAAGCACTGTTCCTGCCTTCTTAGGTGCTTGCTAACAGCACTTGCCCTACACATCTGCAAAGGCCATGCGGGAGGTCTTTGTCATTGCACTGCGGGTACAGGTATTTTGTGAAGTGTAGCTTCACCCTGAGAAGTCTTGTTGGGTGTACATTGTATTAGGTGACTTCAGCAAAATGTACCCATAACGCTGGTGCACAATGGGCAAACTCCAGAATTTCATGTTGCAGGAAATGCAAACCTTGCTTTGCCGCAATTTCATAATCAAGAGACACCGGGCACGTTTGTGTGCGTCAGCGTGCGGAGAGTTGTGTTTCAGTGAAACAAAAGACTGATTGGGTGTGCTAGGAAATGCATTCCTTTTGAAAACAGAATTTCCTTATAAATGGGATTAATTTGAAACCGTATCTTTGTTTGTCACATAGGGAGAATTTAGGTACAGCATTTGTTGTCTCGGCAGAATGCCACCGCTTCTAAGCCGCACCATTAACTATTTATTTATTCCCGCTAGTGGGGGGAGATAGATTGTGGGTAAGTATAATAGTTCTGAAGTGGAAAATGCGGTCGAGAAAAGCGCAGTGCTTTCGTTCGCTACAAATTCTGTAAAACGGAAACCCCCCGCGGACAAACGCGGCACATGAAGCGCCAAACGTGCCATATCACTCCATCTACCGTGTCAACGCGCCCGTTCTTACGCCACGCTTTTAACGTTATATTTCTACCACCCTCGGAGCGTTTTGACACGGAGATTAAAACGGTTGCACACTTATCAGCACGGTGTGAAAACAGGGCCCGGCGCCAATGCAGAGAAGACGCAACATAATTCCCGGTGAAAGTGGAGCGCGCAAAAGATGGGCTGCCACTTCTGCCGCGGTTCCTGTCGGCTTGTTAGCAACTGTCAGGCTGAGCTTTGGCAATTATTATTCTTTCTATTGCGTATGATTTATTTATCTTTTTGGGCAGCAGACTTTACTTTAAAAAAAAAGTTAAAGTATAAATCAGCAAAGGCAAACATATTTATCGTAATAATTTTTAATTGGGGAAACTGAAAGGTAAAATTATGTCAACAGAGCAAATGCATTTTGGCAGACACTTAATCAAAATGGCCCTAACGAAAGCTCCGCTGGGACGCATTCCCCCTTGTTATAGAAATCATAAAATGAAACAGCAGGAGGAAATAGAAACAAATGAACTTTCACATTTCGCCAACTTCAAACTCGTTCCCACCTAAATTACTCCTGAACACCATTTTCTTTAAAACACAAATTGTAATAAAAAAATATACATTCAAATGCTTTGTATAAGCTTCTCAGGGGGATAATTCTAATTGTAAAAATCGCACATAGTGAACCAAATGTGAGTTCAAAAGCTGCACTTAGAGTGACAATCCACAAAAACATTCCAAGAATGTTTGTAAATGTATTGGTCTATCAATTAATTGTTAATGGGTGGGATTTGCATTGTGTAGTCTACTAAAGCATGATCACATGAGTATCCCGACATTAACATTTTACACAATTCTTCAGAAAGTAAAAGTTGTCCATGTTAGGACCATACATATACAGTGCTGCATTTGCAGGTTAAGAGTCAAAATTTATTCAGGTCGTAATTTCTAAACAGGACAATATTTATCGAGGCTGAAATTTCTGAGTGAAAATAGTACGAGGGCGCAAGATAAACCGCTCTGCACTGGCTCGGCATTTCCTTCATGGATTTATGCGATCGTCTTTAAGGCATCTTTGGGTGGCTCTTAAATCTATCAATGTTTCTTCAGCCCACAGCACTGCCAGGCCATCTATCAGCTCTTCCAGCAGCCATGAGCAGTAGCCCCACAGGGCACACCGAGCCTACGAACGCTGGAAACATGGACGAGCCGCTCACCGGCTTTCATCGATGCCGCATTCCGTCACCCAGCGATAGTAAATGCTCGGCGAATAGGACGTCTTGAAGAAAAGTGAAATTCCTGGACTTCACCAAAATGTTTTCTAAAGTAGTTTTTTTTCTTGTAAGTACTTGTGGGCAGCGTTTAGGATATTAAAACAGGCTCGTTAGTTATTGTTTACAAAAAAAGGCGAATGATTATTTATTTTGTAAAACATTGCAAAAGTAAAAAAAAAGATAATGGGTACAGTCCTGCAATTTCCGGCTCACACCACTGCTGCTGGAAGGGCCTCCATTAGAGGGAGCTCTCATGAACCCCTCTGGAGGGTATTGTTGGCAGACTTTTACACGATAGTCAGACTTCTTGGAACTGGACGTACCCACAATTTAACCTACCACACTTGACCTGCCCATTGACTAACTGTGGTGTACGTACCACTTACAACAAGCTCAGTGGACAGACGGCAGGGGGGATTTAAAAAAAAACTTGCCAATTTCTTCAAATGTTGCGCCAGAAAATCGAACTTGGACTGCAAGCCCAGGTGTGGGAACCATTACACCACGTGCAGGCATCTTGTAAGGGATGCAGCATTGTAAAATGGTCATGCTCACCTATGAAATGCAATAGATTATACAATCAAAGTTGTAAAAGAGTTGCTCTGTAATGCAATTAAAGACTAAACATTTAAGTTTATTGAAAAATACTTTAAAATTTACAACTCAAGAAGTAAAAAACAACCTAACAACTCGAGATCAAATAAAACCAACACTCAGGAAAACATCACTTTACAATTCGCACACTTCAAATTCACAAATGTTTAAAATGACAACATTTTAGTATTAAACTCCCAGTTGTTTGTGTCGATTGAGATGCATAATACAAAATTAATAATGTAATGCAAAGTGGAATTCAGCCGTTAGACTTAATTGCATGTGTTTGTGATAAAAGCTCTTGCAGGGCATAGACATGACCATGTACCAACATCACACACAAACCTCTTTGATCGTAGTAGAAAGCACACCTCCTGGAAGTTATTTTTTCAACAACCTGCAGATATCGCCAAATGAAAACTTTTAATTGATCTGTATATAACAGCATAGGTACACAACAAATGCTTCATCCGTGTAAACAAAAAATGTGTTGAATTTAATTATCAATTGCGGGTTAGTGCTAGATTTGAAGTTTCGTGACTGCAAGGATCCATAATCTTTGGTTCTTACCTACGTGACTTTACCGAAAGAACCAAAGAATATGCGGGTTAGTGGTCTCATAGATTTGTTCCTCAGATGTGCCCCCTCGCACGTGGCAGCCGTGGAAGGGAGGTCTGCCTGTGTGTAATGCCACATTTGCACGGCTGTTTTATTGAGGACTCAAGCCCTTGCCAGGCTTATCCCAACAATTCATGGGAACGGCAATTCCTGCTCTACCCCACTCCCACCCTCACCTCCTCTACGGCTGGAGGAAAGCGATCAAAATTAAAAAAAATTAACAAGGCTTAACGCACGCTTGGGTTAGGTTACGCGATCCCAGTCTAAGATCTATTATGTTTGTAATTTTAACTGGTTTTTTTTTTTAAACACAAAAAACAAAAACCCTGAAGTTGTCCGATGTGAGAGACTTTCTTCCGTGTCGATTCCGCAACGTCACGACTGATTCCGCGGCCAGGTCAGGTGACAAGTGAAAAAGAGTGCAGCAAAGAAGAAAAGCCGCGTGGTAACCAGCCCACTCCTGGCTCATCCCGGGGGTAAGTCTGCCGCGGGAATCCACAGCCAATCCCACTTATTACACGGCTTGCTCCCCCTCTCCACAGCGAGAAAGACGCTGCTGCTGCTGCCATCGCTGCCGCCTCAAGTGTGACCGATGTGGCCCGTGGGGCCCGCGTGGCCGACGCTGCCATCGTGCCGCGAGATGGCATCTCGGATCTGGCGGTCGAGCTCCACGACAATGCGGTCGTCGTGCGTGTAGACGCCCGTGCGGAGCAGCGTGTCCCTCTCCTCAATGAGGCGCGTGAGGTGCGCGTCGTGGCTCTCCTCGGCGGCGCCGGCGCCGCCCCCGTGCCCGGGGGCTGCACGCGGGGCAGCACCGGCGGCAGCGGTCTCCAGCGGCAGCTGGGCCGGCTTCGGTCCAGGCTCCTTCTGCTGCTCCTGAAGTTTCAGTCTGCGGGCAGATGTGAGCCGCAGTGAATGTCAAGCAACAAGTCACGCAAGGTTTGTACGCGACTCTTAGTTTTTGTGAAAGAGCAGGTGAAAGATAAAGGTGCAGCCCTGCAATTGCTTGTCTAAGCCGCTGCTGCTGGCAGAAGGGGCCTCCCACTTGAGGGAGCTTGAGAGAGGCCCTATAGAGAGCATTTGACCTCCTCTACCACATTTATACATTAACATAAGAAAACTACATTGTATGTACATATACCACCATTGCATATATACCAGATGTCAACATTTCCAAGACTGATATTAGCATTTTACGAAAAACTGTTGACCATCAAACGTTCATGTTATTTTGAAGCCTGAGAATTATGCACCTATTAGAAAATCGTATTGATGTCATGCGATGTCGTATTCAAATAGAGGCTTTGCATTCCTTTAATTTCTGCTTTTCAGAAACTATACTAGCCGCCCCGCGTGTACGTACTGTATCTACACATAAAGAGTTATGGTCTCGAGTTAAATATAGGCAACGTTTGAGCTCAACGACTTCACCTCTGCGCCAAAATCATTAACGCAGCCATTCCCCGCACCGCAGGTCATGACCCACTGATAGGCTTGGCTTTTCTGGGTTGAGAAAGTCATGATTTACGTGGAGCCTTAGAAGAAGCGTGAAAACAAACAGCTGACTAAGGACGCAGTGTGAGAAGGCAGCGCCGGCCTCACAAAAGAAGTTCGTAGGCGAGGACTGAACAAAGTTCGAGAACAAATTGCCGTACGCAATTCAGAGGGGGTGAGGCGCAAACCCCCTCCCCTACCACTTCTAATGCACGCATTCTTTGTATGCATTCGCAAATTTTAGCTGCCCTTTTACACGTATAAGGACGTAGTTCAGAATGTATGCGGCTGTCTACAAGCCCCAGGAGGAATGTCTAGCGAGCACAGGAACAGGACTGCCTTTATTGAATAATGGTTTTAGCAACACGAGCATTCCCTTGAAAGTTGGCTTAACAGGTTACAACGGGAAGGTGCCAATTTCTCTTTTTTAGTCATGCCCCATTACCAAGCTCTGCCAAAGCTGCCAAACTTGCTCTACAAAACTATTTTATTATCCGTCCCGGGGATCCGACGCACTGCGGACTCTGCCTGCGAATTCTCACTTGTGGTCTGCTGGCAATCCATCCCGAAACGAGACCCACGCATCAAACCTGATTAAAGCAGACAATGGACAGCGGGTCTCGGTGGCCAATTAGTCTCCGGACAAGAAAGCACATGGCCAGACACTGTGAGCTACACGGTAGTTTCAGCAGGAAGGAGTGTCAAAAGGCAGAGGCTGTAGCGTTACAGAGCCACCCGGGGAAATTGAAAGCGATTAAAAATGTGCCATGCAGTAGTTGAAGTTATAGCTCGTTGAACATATTTTAAAACTGCAGCGAAGTTTTCGCAATGAAAACATTTACGACTGTGTAGAGGAGTGAAAATTTGAGCTGATAATCTATGCAAGGAAGGCATACTGTCTGCTTATTTGTTTTATATTTCCCGAGCTAGGTCTTAAGAAGCCCACTGATGTGAGGTGAAGAGGGGTGGTGGATCAGAGTAGATGGAAGGCTCTTGAGAACTCTATACCACCGGGTGTCCAGGGCAGATGCAGGTGTGCGAGTACCAGTCTAAGAACGTTTGCAGTGGTAATATGGTTTGATCACAGCGACCTGGGTACATAGGTAGTGGGCGATGCTCAGTGGACACGTAATCCTCCGGAGGAAATAAATGGAAGAGCTCACCTGTTGAGGTCATTCTTGATGCCTTCCAGCTCTTGGCGGTCGGCCCTCACTACCTCCTTCTCCTCGGCTGCCAGGTACCGCAGTCTCATGTGCTCCAGCTCCGTCTGCTGCTTGTGTAGCCTCGCCAGAGCATTCTCCTGCTCCCTCTAGGGCGACGGGTACAAGGAACACACCACCAGGTGCCCAGAGCTGAGTACCAGATGCAAGGGCGAGCGTGGCTGGCGCTGCACTGCTCTACGAATCCGGCGACCCGAGTTCAATTCCCACTTACAACCAATAACAGTGGAGAATATCTGAACCTGTCCTGGGCCTCCTAAGGCAACTCAGCCTTAAATGAGTACCTGATGCAGTGTGTAAACATCAGCACTGGGGTAACAACAAAGACGGCCAGGCATGGTGTTGGCCACCCATACCCTCGTGTGCCCTGCCGGCCTTAATAGGCACTCACTAACGATGCTTGCATCGTTACACTACCTCTGTAATAATGCATTGATTACAAATGATCCATACAATCGTAAAACACGCATATAATCGTGGAAGCAAGGTCGATCGTTTACAATTCATGAAAATGATATGCTGAAGGTACATTTGGCTAACGTTGTAAACAAAACTGGTAAAATGAGGCAAAAAATAGGATTTAATCTTTAATCAGATCACGTTATGGAATCATAACGATGCATCGAAATGTGAAGAGGATTTAATTGAGGGGTCGAATCGTTTGAAGCCTAATGGGCTGCGCAGTTCATTCCACGATAAATAATAGGAATGCTATTTTTACCTGCATTGGAGCGCTTTAGCCGGCATGGCTGGGCATGGTGCTGGTCCACCCACCCGTTCAAAGTGCCACATTACCATTCATAGGACTTTGCTAACAGTGCTTGTCCCAATGATCTTGTCTGCATGTGTGCAGAGTCATTCATTACTTGAAACTGTGCTTGCAGTCTATCGTATACAATCGTTCACGATATACTTTTGGTTTTATTAAAAACAAATGCACTTTGATCGGGAAAAAAAAAATAGTGATGACACTTTCCCATTACAGTGTGCTGGGATTGGTTAAGTAGAACCTCTGCGGGAAAGACGTGTGCAAGTGATAGCTACTTGCCTGCTCCTCTGAATACATGAATGCATGATCCTGAGACGTATTCCCAAGTGAAATAAGAGGAGCATGTGCAGCTCATAACATGGATGAAGAAAAGATCATTTAAAACTTTGCCATTTACTATTTTTTTTTCATTCATTTAAGCAAACATGTAAAATCCACTCGCACACATCACGTATTTAATTACATGCAAAAAAATAACAGAATTAAATTTCGAGGGCGACTATCAAAGAGCGCTGCGGAAACACGCGCCGATCACTCAGCCCCGCCGTCACGCCCTCACTTGGCTCCCCGAGGCCGTCCTGGGCAAGGATAATGGATAGGTGAGACAAACGATTGTTTTAGAGGTTTTGAGATGGTCAGGCGGTGGTGTTAAAAAAAAAAAGGAGAAAGCCTCCTGGGTTTAATCTGCGCACGCTGCTTCCTCGATCGTGACCTCTGCAACGCTCAGCATGCGCAACGCACACGTAAGCTGAATTACAGGGGCGGCGCCCGCTATTAAAAACGCGCTAAAAAGAGGCGAGACAAAATTTACATCGCCATCGCTGCCATCCAAACAGCTATGTTTTAGGAAATGCCATTTAACTTTGATGTTTCAGACAGCGAGCAACGGCAATTTAAGTCTGCTTATAAGATTCCGTTATGCTGGAATTAGTTTAATACTTACATAATCTATACATGAAACAGTGTTCATGAATAACAAGGGGGGGGGGAGCACGATAATTTAAACAAGTCTGGCCAAAAACAACTGTCGAGGAAGTTAAATCATGGACGAGATGTAAAATATGACAATGTAATGAAGACGTTGAGTTTTTACTTTATATCAGGGTCTCTCAAAAATTCTAGAAAATGGAATGTGGTGTATGCGATTTTAACACCATGTGGTTCATATCCCATGTATTTTGGTGGCATCTGACCAAGTGCCCTGCGTTGTCAGTAATAAAGCCGAGTAAATTTACGGCCTCAATCGTCCCTCCTCCGTGATCTGTTAGCACTGTTAGTCTGCGAGTTTGCAAAAAAATGTAAACGTGAGCGAGCCAACATATTTCTTCCCCGACAGAAAAACGTTTCGAATTTGGCAACGGCCACGGCAAAACCAGCTGGGATGAACAACAGACCCAATTTTTTTTTTGTTGCAAAGAAGACACGTTCAGAAGGTCATTGGTCCTAGAGAACGTGTAATGTTCTGCACTGGCAAGCACGCATCGCTATATCATTGTTATAATACCCTGTGTAAACATCATGCTATTAGACTAAACAGATTTGAGTGGGACGCACTCACGTTTTAAATTCTAATGTGAGAATAAAAAGCTTGAACGTGGCAGCCCCGATGTTCGTCCAGAACAAAGTGCGCGTATGCATGCTAGGGATGTGCTCATGTTATTGGGATTGCACGACTCGGCGAGAGATCCGAATGGATGCTTTGTCTCTTGACATGACACCGATGGCACAATCAGAATACAATTGGGTGAAAATTACAACAAAGAGAGGTTTAAAAGGGCTGTGTGTAGAAAATATGAACGACACTTGAGACAAACACACTATTTAGTTGTGATGTGGGTCAGTCGACCAGAAGTGGTGGCATTTCCTATTAGGATAGCTCACAAACGCTTGGCAGTGCAATGTGCATATGACAAATGGTACTGTCAATTAATTATTTGAGTTCAAATCAGTCTGGGGGGGGAGGTAGGACATTCTTAGCACTTAAGCACTATTTTTTATATATATAAAGGGGGCCAACAGCCATTCTGCCTGGCTAATGGTTTTAGGAATTCATAAGCGACACTATGTACATCAACCACAGACGGTGAAAGCTTCAGCTCTGAGGGTCACCTGCATGCAACCCCGTGTACAGATAGGGGAAACTGTGACCCTCCCTAACCCGACCGTTGTTGGAAACCATCCACAGCATCCACAACCCCCAACTGATCTCCCACTGCATATGCGCTCTATGGACAGCATCCAGGCCTATTGTGCATATCGTATGTGTTGGGAGCATTCCAAATTATAAACAAGCCGTGTTTAATAACGCATAATGCCACACACCAGAAAAAACGCTAGGTTTCTCGCTGTCGTTAATTTAACCATAATTAATCCTTAATGCTATGTAAGGATATATGTACAATATGCTAATGGTAAGTGCAATTATTAACCATTTTTTTACTGTAACGTTTTTCTTCAACGGTCTACTGAACCATGAAGTTTCACTCATTTAGTCGCCTATTACATGTTTTTATTTTCCTTGTAATGCAGTGTTACTGACAAATGTGTCTATTGTTATTTGTGCATTTGCACCACTGCCAACGCAGCATCACCCAAATAATTAGTTTAGTCATAGTTTCACCGAATGACTGAGCCACAATGCAATACTGTAATAGCCGAGTGCTGCCAACAGCTGTAAGATGTCACGTCTAGGTCGGCTGCTGTTGGGCTCTGATGACACCTGAAGTGATAGATTTGTACAAGGGAGAATGGGAATGTGGACAGGAACACACAGCGAGTGGGGTTAGGGTTAGTGCGCGCTTGCGGAGGAGGATATCCCACACACGACGAACCTCAGCGCTGAGTGGCTCCTGATCTGGATGGGTTTACCATTCCAGCCGTAAACAACGATGTTCAGTTTTTTTTTATAACTGGTGTATTGGCTGCTCATTAAGGCCATCTGTGCTGCCACGTCAATTACCGGTAAGCGAGACAAATCCTTGATTCATTTGGCACTTTAAGAAATACACAAATGCTTCGAGCGCATTTAATTATTTATTTGTTAGCACATCCAACGCAGTTGCCTATTGGACAATTGAAACATTTTGCCAAGGCGTGTGGCTGAGGTGGAGCACAGGGTGTAAAAGACGAATGGCTTTGAATGAAAAATAAGACTGTGCAATGTCGAATGGAGCATCTGTACCTGCTTAATCCTGGCCAGTTCCTTCAGCGCACGACCCCACTGCTGTTTGTAATGAAGCTTGGACTTGAGGGCTGAATCCAGCTTACGTTCCAGCTCAACCTGTGCAGGAAAAACATGGAGATTAACCGAGCGATGGCATTTTGGCAACATCGACAACCAAACACACGAAACCTGAGTGTTTGTTGAGTATGACGACATTTGCACGTGACACTATAATTGCGACTTCGGCACTGATGGGGGTTAAATCTCATGCTAGCAAAAAGCGCCAAAGTGTGCCCCTCCCACAGGTGGCTCGGGCTAACAGGGCTTGGCCAACTTAAACCAGCAAGGCTGGACTTGTCGAGAGAAGGCAAGGTGACCACTAGCAGCGCACGTTGTAGACTGACGCAATCGGTGAACATGAGCAAATTAATATACGTTTAGACAATTAATGTCCAAAAACAACAGAGGGGCAAGGTCACCGCGAGCAGAGCACGTGGCGGACTGATACAATCAGCGAACCCGTGCTCTTGGGAGCAGAAACGTGCTCTACGAGTGGCAACGTTTGCGCACTTTATTTTTTTAGAATTACATTTTCCAAAAACAAATATTGTATATATAAAAAAAAAAATCTTAAAAAACATTTCAAAGCCACCCCGTTGAAAAAATATTTCCACCCGTCGCCTCTGGTCACTCTCGAACCTTCTCCAGGTTGAGCAGGTTGATCTCGGACTGAAGACGAACTTCTGGCTTGACGTTTTGCTGCTCACGGTACTGCTGGAACTCTCGCTCCAGCGCCTTGTGCCTTTGCTCGGCCTCTCGCAGCTGCGCTCGCATGCACGCAGCGAGGAAGTCAGGTGCTGTGTAAGCGGTTGAACAAAAAGCGAGGCTGCAAGTGTTTAGCGAACTATTGCGGGGGTTTTCTCCGTTGCGTTGCATGACTCTCCAAGCGGGTTCCCGTATCGCACTGCGTGCTGTTTGGCACGATGTCCGACGTTTCCGGCGCATGCAGCCAAATGTCAAGACATTACTCCGAACAACACGCGGGAGAACCCGAGCACACATGGGAGAGCTACGAGTGTGAGGTGTGTTTGCGATTGAGTTTGGGCGGGATTTTAAACTGTGACCATTTAATTCGTTGCGAATCACATCAGGTGATGAACAGGGAACCACCGCGGTGGAGTCGGATAGGCATTAAGAGGTGGTCCAATTGGCAACCAGCGAGCGAAGGACTGTATAGTGGACTTGGAGATGGCCCAGAACACAAATGAATGGATAAAAAGTACGAGGAAGGCAGTAGACCCCACATGAGTGCTAATAATGCCAAGAAGAAGGAGAAGAATTTATTTGTTGCAAGAGAGCAGGCACTGAAATGTTTTTATTTAATCACATGCATATTTTTTACGGGAAATTATTTAAAATATTGTTCTAGATATTGTCATGATAACAATGCCACGACTTCCCGGCAAATGCTAATTTTTATGTTTAAAAATGTGGTAGATATGTTTCGTTATCGATTGATGCCGTGCCAACCAATTAGTCTTTCCATAAAACATTTAATTGATTATTGTGTCGAATAATGTGGAGTTTGCATTCATTTAAAGATCCATGCCCATGGCAAAAGCAAATTCCATTTTCTGAACCCTATACCAATCCAGCAGTGACATCAATAGATTATATTTTCCATGCAGCTGTGTAAAGCTTATGAATTTGAGCTAAATCCTTTTTATTTAAATCGTACATTAGAATGCATTACGGAGGAAGGCACAGCATTAAAAGAGACTGTACGTTACATTCGTGTGGTAATTGTGTCGATGTAATTTAAAACCTTTTCTGATTTTTACACTGTTGGTTTTTCGATGCTTTAATTTGACATTGCAATTTTCTGTGTTTCTCGTGAGCCAAGCAGAGTTTTGCAGCAAGTGAGGTGGCTGGCCGGGTAACTCAGGAGACTAATATGTCAGACCACTGAGACAGTGCTGCTGAGATCGGGGGTTCAAATCTGGGCAGCCGCCCATGATTAAATTGCATTTTCAAGTGTAGTGACTTTATGGTCTCAGAAAAAAAAAAAGTACCCCAAAAAGGTAAAGATGCAGCTGCTAAAACTGCTTGCTCAAGCCACTGCTGGTGGTAGGGATTCCACGAGATGGAGCTCAAGAGGGCCCCTCTGTAGAGGGTATTTTGCCTACTCTTCCACGCTGGCTAGAAGTCTTGAATAATATGTGAATACCCACACTTTAACCCACCACACGTGACCTGGATACACCTGACTGTTGAATATAATTTTTTTTACACATACGGAGAGAATTAGATTTTCAATGAGTAAGAAAATAATTTGAGCAATCTAACAGCAGCTGCACTGCCAAGGGAACAACTTCAGTGACTGCAAATAATGCGGAAACACCTAGGCTTGTGGAACAAACAGCAACAGCGCAGACTGGTGTACGCGAACTGGCGAGCATGTACACCTGAGTGCGCACGTGTGTATGTGGGGGATGGTTGAGCACACTGGCACGTGCACGCAGGTAAGTGCAACTGCATGACAGTATGGGCGGGCTCACGTGGGTACGTAATTGGGCGCATCAGCGTGAGTGCATAGGACAGTTAACCTGCGCATGCAAGTGGGCGAGCGGAACTAAGTCAATGCGTTTATGCAGGCACGTGCGCATGCACGAGTGCAACTGCATAAGGACACCAGGCGAGCTCACCCGCGTGAGTGCATTTTAAAAAAAAATAAACTTTTTATTTTACCAGGTAAGGCCCCACTGAGCTATATAGCTTTTTTTTTTTTCAGAAGCGACATGGCCAACAAATGATAGCTCAGCAAAGTGGCTTATCTTGTGGAAATTTATTGCAGCCAAATAGTCTAAACGAACGTTTCTAAATGTGGAGGGAAACATCGGAAGACCCGGAGAAAAATCTATGCGGCCACGGGAAGAAAGGTACGCAAACTCCAAATATACAACAGGCGTCATGGGCCGGGATCAAACCCACGGCCTCCTGTATACCATTCCAGGTAGTTGTATGTATGCATGTTGAACTTATATTCTTTAAATCATGTTTAAATCATGTTGAACTTCTTTCTAAAGAAATGAGTTTCCAATCTAAGTTTCAGATTACCACGAGGGCACGCTCACCTGCGTGAGTGAGTGGCCGCGCGCCTCCTCCATCTGCGCCAACTTGAGCCGCTCCAGCTCGAGCTGGTGACTGCAGTCCTCGTTCGCACGGCGCACGCGGTCCGCCGCCTCCAACTGCGCACGCTGCCGCTCCCCCTCCAGCTCCCGCTGCAGCTGCCGGAGCTGCGGAGCGCGGCACAAGGGGGCAGCGAGGATCGCTCACTCACTCGGCGCAGGGAGCGAGGATCGCTTGCTCATTCATTCGGCACTTCCGTGGCCTCGCGGCGTTCCGAACAGAAATCCGCCCTGGCCACTTTTATTGGCTTTTCGTAGCCGTGACAGACGATGCTGATGATGATGATGCCCTTCACCTAGGAAAGTCTCAGTGTGTCTCAGGACTTTTTTCAGGAGAGTCCTGCATTATTGGGATGCTTGACCAATTACTTTCGCGAGTGTTACGCAAGTTAACTGGAGTTCCAAGATAAAGGCAGATAAATCCCACAGTTTACAGAAAACATTGCCGTTCTACTGTCACTTGGAATTCCTAGTTAGTCTCCAATCCACGGACTAAGCATTCAAGCCTGCTTACCTTTCGAAGTTTTATTAAATCAGGTGCATTTAACACAATATTAATGCAGAAAACAGATAGGATTTTAGCAATTTGTGGGAAAAAAATCCACGAGGTTATGTTCAGCAGCTGTGTGTGTAAGTGGTTTTAACCAAGGGCTGGTTTTATCTTGCTGTGGATTGCACATCTGTGGCATCCACCTCGTGTTCCCCTGCAACGAGCTCTTTCTCCCGCCTCTCGAGGTCGCACAGCGTCGTCCGCAGTTTTTCTTCAAGAATGGAATACTCTGAAACCTGTCAACACAATTATCCGTCAGTCGTTCTGTTCATTACCAAGCACCCCTCACCCCCAATGATGAAGCTGTGCGATTTGGGCATTTTATTTACCAATGGTAAATTGTCAGGCGGTGTTACATTTGCAACACTATCCAAAGACTGCTCCGTCTAATCATTGTGTGAGTATGTCTATTATCTTTAGACCCCATCAGAAATGAGTCAGTCCATCTTTTATTGTCCAGAGCCCCCATTACAGACCGGTCACCTGACCAGTAAACCGACCGACTGACCCTAGGACCAATCCAATCCTCTATTCCCTGTCTTCCACTTGACAAAACACAGTCTCCTCGTTTTCTCCATCACACCTAGCTACATCTCTTGGCTTTTCCACCACTCTCTGATAGTCAACTTTCACGGGTTCTTCTCGCAGTCCAAGGGTTACGTAACTGTTCTCTGCAGTACGATAGTTAATTGATCACCCAAGTTTCACTTGCATACAGTACAATTGGAAAAACACCAATGATGTAACTAGCTTGATTTATGACCAATACACGATTATTTAAGCGTTATGACAATCCGAGGCGCATTTACTAGAAGTGCTTATTCGTCTTAGATGTTCATTTTCATTGAAAGTGACTCACACACGTGTAATCACTTGATTTTTTATATATATTTCTAAATAATCTTTACAACCAAAATGGGATTCACCTACAGCCTCCCGATGCATTTTCGGGTCGCACCACGTGGAGCGAAACGTTAGCCAACATGGTGCACAACACACGGGCACAAAACAAAAAAAAACACACACAGGAGAGGTACAATGCACAACCGCGAAAACAAACACACACAGTGGGATTCACGTACTTTCTTCTTGACCAAGGCTTCCCTCTCTTTGTCTCTTCTCTTCCACTCCTCCGCCAAGGCCTGCATGTGCACGAGCTCCTTTTGTTTCAGCTGTTAAAAGACAACGATCGGTAATCGCGCGCCGCCGAAGATGCAACTGCAATTCATTGCGTCTGTCACAAGCAAAACAACACCTAATAATGTGAGAGTACTTGTCACGTGGTTCAATTTGCATACAAAATGTTTGACAAGAAATGAACTAAAATTCGTGACAATACATTTTTAAAATGAAGTTCCTGAACTGAAGTTAGAAATGGCTGTCGTAGCGACGTGCCTTAGTAAGCAAGAAGCATTTGTACTTCACGGCTCACAGCTATTGACATTTCTAATTGAGACGCATGGCATTCCTGGGACCTGCCTTAAAGTCTCGTTTGTATTTATAGAGAATAATGCTCATTTAAGAGGCGCTGAGGTTACGAATCAACACAGAAAAACAGGGCAGTTTCTAATTTTTAACAAGGCTACATTTCGCAGGTAAACACTTATTCAGGGTCAGAAAAACCGTACAATGCTTACATTTTAGATTTCTGTTTTATAATGAAAACCACCAGTGCTGTACCATGTATTTCATTAATGGTTAAGTCATTGACTGCTGCACTTGATTAACATTAAAAAAAATGTTTTCTATGCCCACTTTGCATTGCTGCGCAATCACACGCAGACCTACGTGCAGCGATCAATCATCAGATAATCACAGCACACCCAGGTTTTTCCATTCGAAACAGCGCATAATCAGCAACTGTGAAGAACGTTCATTCCAAAAGCTCGATAGCACTATTATAAGTCGGGCTGGGTGACGCACGCTTGCGATCCAAAGCTCTCGAGTGGATTGTGTAGATTTGAGAAATTTCGAAACCTAACCGACCTATTATCTGCAAGAATCCTTGCCTCTGGTGCGTCAAGAAGCGCCGCATGGGAGGGACGACACGAACAGTAAATTATGATGGTCGCAAAAAAATTTGTATGATGTGCTGGATATATATATGCTGGGTTAGGTACCTGGTTTTCAAATAAGTCCTCCTGCATCTCCTTCCACATCTCCAGCTCGAGGGCCGCCTGGTACTCCTGGCTCTGCCTGGGCTCCTTGACCACCGCCACGGCGGGGGTCGGCTCGGGCCGGGTACGTGGAGCCTCCCTGAGAGGAATCCGCTCCTCCTGGGGAAGGTAAAGGAGCAGCCGTTCAAAAACTTGCTCAGTGCCAATGCTGGCAGAAGATCCTCCAATAAAGGAAGCTCCAGATAGTCCTTCTAGAAAGTTTTTTTTTGGCCTACTCTTCCACACTGGCAAAACCTTTCAGAAGAGGTGGGAGTGCCCACACCTTACCCCACCGATCTGCCGATCGTCTAACTGTAGTGGACCGATTTATACTGCTGGGTGGTCAGAGGTGGGAAAATTTTATGAAATTGCACCATTATTTAAAGTTCCACGTCCGGGGATCGAACCAACAACTTCTGGGTTGTGAGTGCAGTGTGTTATACATTACACTATGGCAGCATAGTTAAGTTAATTAATTCATACAATGTTTAAAAAGATCTTTACAGGATTAAAAATTACTAGGCTTTCTATTTACTTTTGTAGGAATATGCGTTGTTTATTCAATTTAAAATCGAAAGGATTCAAACTACAGTAAAACCTTGGATTGCGAGTAACTTGGTCTGCGAGTGTTTTGCAAGATGAGCAAAATTTTTAAATAAATATAAATTTGATAAACGAGCGAGATCTTGCAATACTAGTAGTATTGTATACGCTTTGTCTGCTGAGCGTCACGTGATCACAACTGATGAGTGCTTTGATATACGAGTGCTTTGGATTACAAACACGTTTCTGGAACGAATTATGCTCGCAATCCAAGGTTTTACAGTATTTCCAAAAAAACATATTCAACTTTCTTCCAGGATAAAAATACAGTCTTTATATGTTGTGTTAATGCCAAGTGCATCTTTTTAAGTCCAAATAAGCTCCATTTCATACATTATATGCAACCAGACAGGTATATTCAGAGCCTACAGTTAAAGCAGTGTGTAAATCACAGCACACAGCTCCATTAGTGTCCATTGTTTTAAATAAAAACATGCCGTAACATGTAATTCTCAAGCAACCCCAGTAATGAATTTTGATTTAAAGCTTTCGTGACTGCAGGGATTCATATTCTTGGCTCTTTCGGTAAAGTCACGTAGAAGGGAAGCAATAAAATAATAAAAATAATTGTTTTATATTTTATAATAAAAATAATTGTTTTATATTTTTATTATTTTATTGCTTCCCTTCTACGTGACTTTACCGAAAGAACCAAGAATATGAACCCCAGTAATGGTGTAATTCAGTGGTTCCCACCGTGTGGTCTGCTACGTACGGTGCGAAATAAGTCCAACATATACACACAAGGCCATAGGAAGTGGTCCACCAAACTGTTGCAGACACTATGATTTCTTTTTTTTTTTTACAAATCACCATGTTTTACTGCGTGGAGATCTGCAGTTTGTTTTTTTTAGGATATGATCATGGTCCATAGGGCCAGAAAGGTTGGGAACCACTGGTGCAATCTCTGGCAATAAAATACCACCCTCTATAGGACATTGATTGCACTGCACTCCACGACGTCACACCAATGTGGTTACCTGCGAGTGCTCCGAGATTAAGACCTGCTGGGTCTTCACAGTTCCGCGGTCTTCAAGAGTCATCGTGTAATTTAACTCGGCTATTTTTTCACTCGAGCTGAGGGGAAAAGTGCAGAGTGAACAGTTTTTTTTTGAATTTCAAACCTTTACAAAGGCGAGACAAGTGTAATTTCTCTACCCCCCGTTGTCCGGACAACCCCCAACATATTTCGATGTGGAAAAGAGACAGCCATAAACATTTAGAGGAAAATCATGGCATTTTTTTCGTCAGCATTTTTCTCCCTTCAACAAGGTGACATCAATGGCGATGATGAAACATTAGGCTCAGTAGTCAGTATATGCGGAGCTTTAATAAAACCTTAAAGCAATAGAACTCCCCTTATCCGTGACGAAGCGGGTGGGGCTAACTTCACGGATACCAATCTGTAATCTAACCAATACGCTCAGCGAGAACCATTCGCTCGTAGCCCAACCCCAACTTCAAACGTGCGGCTGCTCCACTGCATAGGCATCTGTTAACTAAAGCGAGCTCATTCACTCTCATAGATGTATGTTAGCATCAGCACATGATAGGTCACAATGCATCTGCAATCGAAGCGATAACCAACAACTACCCACAACTCCCAAAGTGTCCGCGCCAGAGTTACCGTGGGCTATTTCCCCCATGCTTTTAGCGTTGGTTTCAAAGCAGCTCCTTCGCCTTACCCACCCGTGCGTGGCGAGCACGGGCGCGCGGTCGCCGTACGCCTGCCTCCAGCACTGGCCGCCGTCGGGCGCCAGGAATCGTGCGCGTTCCGTCGTGAGCACGTGGGACAACGGGAGGCGCGCCACGCCCAGAAGGCTGTCCTTGGCGAGCCGGTCGCGGTGCCACAACTCCACCACCAGCGGCACCCTGCGGCGGCGGGGCAGAGGCACGGGCCACCGTGCGTCGGCACGTCACGATCCACCGGCTGGTCCTGGCTCGTGATTTTGTGAATTGTCACAATTCGGTGTTGGAATTCCATATGAGAATCTGTTATCTCGTGTCGTTTGTAATGTCTGTCTCATAAGTGTATGTTGCTTCTTCCGTCTCATTTGTTCCATTGGCCTGAAGACAACACTCGCATCACTGGACAAAATGTACTTTGGAGTGGATATGGAGCAAAGGCAAAAGAAGCAAAAACAGTGCAAAAGATAAGATCACATCATATAATTTGGAGGCCCATCAATGCTTGACCGCCAATGCTTGCTACCATCCAATAAAGTCACACCACCCTAACCAACACCATCTAATGGAGGTTCTTGTGTTACCTAACCAGGTGGGTCCAGTACATAGCAAACAAGTAAGGACTGGCTCTCACATGTGTTAATGAAGTGTGAAAGCAGGCTTTAAAGGAAACCTTGGCTTACCAAATTCAAAGGCGGAGGAATGTTTTATTACCTTTCCTGCAACTTTACAAGCCATAACATCCATCACTAATGCACACAGTAAACTTTACATCTGTGCACATTTAAGCACAATGGTAAAATCCGCGGGACGAAATGTGTTGTAGTAACCGGCAATGCCACATTGCCAAGGGCAAAAGATAGAGATGCAGCCTCTCAAATGCACGGCTTAGGCCACTGCTAGCAGAAGGCCTCTACAAGAGACAGCTCCAGAAGCCACCCTGGAGGATATTTTGGTTTGCCCTTCCATGCTGGCCAGATGTCTTGAAAGAGGTGGAAATAAATTTTGATTTAAAGCTTTCGTGACTGCAGTAATTCATATTCTTAGTTTTTCTGGTAAAGTCACGTTGAAGGGAAACAACAAAATAATAAAATATATATACATAACAATAAAAAATAAAAAAATTATATATATTTTTCATTGTTTTATATATTTTATTATTTTGTTGTTTAGAGGTGGAAATACTCACATTCTACCACACCGGTCTTTTTTATCGGCCGCGGTGGACCCATTTATATCGCTGGGTGGACAGAGGAAGGGGGGGGGGGGAGATTCTAGAAACATGTGTTAACTGCGGTGCCAGGAGATCGAAGCAGCGACCACTGCGAGTCCAGTGTGATAGCCGTTTCACCTCGGCAGCGTCCCTGTTACACCGTAAGAAACGCAAATTCCGGCATCAGCACGCTTCGTGGCTTGCCTGTAGAATGTGTCCTCCAGCTGTTGGGGTAGGGTGGCAAACTCAAACATGCAGTAGGACTGTGGCAGGAACACTTCCATGTGCTTCCGAACTTCCACCGGAGGATTCGTCATGATGGGGGCAGCGCTGCCAAAGAACGGGTACGAGTACCTGTGGAGCCAGGGAAGCCACGCGCGCATGGTGGTGGAAACACGGGAATCGGACGTTGATTCCAAAATAAACTTACCAAAATGGAGCGTTGCCACAACAGCTGTTATGTACACAATGAAGATGATGGTCAGGACACACTTCACTTAATGTACTCACAAGTGAACAATTTATTGCCATCGATGATGTATTAATTAAGGGATGTAGTAATAATAATGTCATTTATCTAAGAAACCATCAATCGGTTTCATTGTTAATAATTCACTATGTAACACAATTTTTGTTTCTTGGTAATTAAGTGTTATTTTTTAATTGCTTATGCCTAAAAAGTATAGAAAATGGCTATTATTATTCCCCACGAACTTTGCTTTTGTGACCAGCACTTTATGCGAACGAAAGACACAAATGCACACCACGTTTTCTCGAAGAAAATATCTACATTTCTAAATATCACTGTCTTGGTCACAAAAGCAAAGTTTCAGGGGAATAGCCATTTTCTGCACTTTTGAGGCAATTAGGAAATAACACTTACTACCCAGGAACAAAAATTTTTTTGTTACACAGTGTATAATCAGTGTGGAAGTGGAAAAAAACCGAAATACCCAGAGATCCATACACACAAGGTGATAAGTCCACTTAGATGGGTTCAGAGGTTCACTTCCTGTATTGTCACCTCCTGGCCACCTTGCAGATGAGCTGCTTTTTGGAGTTTTACAAATGTGCGCAGTCCACATTTATCCAATAATATGCCCGATTCTGATATGCTTTAAATAACCGACTATTTGGTGATGATGTTTTTATGCTACAAGCCTGTTGGTCCAGTCTGTTCCATGGAGGGGTTGATTTTTTTTCAGAACTACAGTAAAACGTTGGATTGCGAGCATAATTCGTTCCGGAAACGTGTTTGTAATCCAAAGCACTCATATATCAGTTGTGATCACGGGACGCTCGGTAGTACAAAAGCGTATACGTACTACTACTCGTATTGCAAGACCTCGCTCGTTGATCAAATTAATATTTATTTAAAAAAATTTGCTCGTCTTGCTAAACACTTGCAGACCAAGTTACTCGCAATCCAAGGTTTTACTGTACTATTGTTATAAAAACTGCGGAGTAACAGCCACCTGAATCCCTGTTGAGCTTAATTTTTGACCTGCAAGGTAACTTTTGACATGAGGTGCAACAAACCACTTCTTCCACCAGGTGGTGCCCCACTTATTAGGTTAGCACGGTAAAAGTGTTGGTCACATTTTTGACCTATGTCAAAGGTGGTAACCAGCTCATCACCAACAGCTGTCGCTGGTTTCTTAATAAGCCATTACTTGATCCTCTATGTCAAAATTGGTTAAGCTCTGTCACTGACTGACAGACTGAAGGGCAAATTTAATTTCTAACCCTTTAACGTAAGTGAGAACTTGAGAGACCTACTCTTTAGTTCTTTCGGTAAAGTCACGTAGAAAGAGAAGAGAAAATAATAAATTACATAATAGCATACGACGTTTTGATTGCAACACAAGCAATCATCATCAGGTACAAATGAAAGAGAAAACAAACCTAGTAAACTTAGAAATATAATTGGCCCGGGTCACCAAAATTATAAAAGAAAAACAGCTAAAGTATAGCAATGACTCAAATAGAAAAACCAACTGTATCATATGAGAGATCTCAAATATTGCACAAACATAAATCAATGAACAATTCTAAAAACCATGCAGTTTAAATCGACTCAAGGTGATTATTTTCATACCGATCACAGAATAATTACAAATTGGTTAACAGAAACATTAAACAGATATAGGATGGCTGTTATACTAATATGTAAACGGGCCAAGATATAGGTCTAAACAGACATTATTATGACCGTTATTGTAAGAAGGTTAAACATGTTCTGCACCCCACCTTCACCAACACGGACTAACCAGCAAACAAACAACCCTCATGATCGCCGACACGCCAGGGGGAGACCTTCACCCAAGCAGTGGATCGACAAAGAAGGGCAAAATAACATGTCATTATTAGTATTACTATTCTGACCGCAGTAAGCAGCTGATAGCAGAGTCCAGCGCCAGGTCTCGGATGCTGCGCAAGTCCAGAGAGAAGCACATGTGGTGGGCAGTGGCAGGGATGGCCACGCGTGAGCCGGACGTCAGGCCCGACTCGCTGCCAGTCGCGGCGCTGGACACCGGAGCAGCTTCCTTGGACCCTGCTGCGTAAAAAAAAAAGAGGGTCTGCGCATCAGACCCATCACACTTTGCACGCGTGTCGTGGAAAATGTAATGTATGTAATTATTAGGCACGCAACCATGCATCAGTACCCCAGAGAGGGCGTCCTTCGTGGAGACGGAGTGATAAAATCGGATCATGCGAAGGAGCTGGATGGATTGTTGCATTGTGGCACCGTGAGAAATGGTGAAACTGCTTTATGAAGGAAAGACTTCATCCAGCAGTGGATTGATGTTGGTGAATGATGTATACATTTTTACAATTATGTTACATGCTGATTCGTGCGCGAGATTACATTGATTTATAATTTGCATTTTTTAAGATGAGCTAACTTTACCCCAAGTTAATGGAGTGACCAAAATTGTACTCATAGTACGAACGTGCGAGAAACAATACACACAAGATAAAACCATTGTGCTATGACAATAAAATTATATAGATGGAACTTTACATAATTCATTAAAAAAATGTCCCCATACTGATACAAATTATTTAATTTCACAAAAGGTTTCGTGGTGATTGGTTCTTACAACTCACAGAGAGAGTAAGCAATTATTTTAATACAACTATGAAAGTTTTGTCTGGTAAATGTTGTGAAAAGTGGCATATGAAAACAAAACGATCACTCCTGTAGTGCGAAACATTTTTGCAGTATTCTTTCATTTGTTTACAATTCGCTCTAACAGGACTCATGAGCCAGCAGTCACGCCTCAGAGGTTGAAAAACTGGGATAATTGGAGGCCCGGGCTGCAAGAGATCCCATCAGACCTGACATCAGACCCGGGAGCGATCCGATCGTACGAACAATGCACGCTGGGTGAAACGTCGTGCCGACATCCACCCTAACACGTTCTGACAAGGCCAGCTCGCTTGCCCTCCGTACTCTCTTCAGAAAATAAATGCCAAATTTTTCACGCGTAAGCTAATTCTGCGATTGTTTACATTGCCGAAAATTAACCAAATGTGATTTAAAAGATAAACATGAGTTCAGGGGGGGTGGGGTTCCAATCGAGAAGATAAATGTAAAATAGTTATGTTAGACATAAAAGTGGGGTAATAGAGTGTGGCAGTAGTCACGACCAGTTTTTCAACAGTGGACATGTCAAATATGACATCTGATTATATCGAAAATTTAAACCCCACGTTTTAATGTTTTATTGAAGAAAATTCATGCTTAGATTCAGTAAAAAAATCAATACAAAGGTAGTCACATCCATCAAACAATTTAAATGTTTAGTCCACAAAACACTTGCGAATATGTTAAAAAAGCATTTCAAATCGGCATTCCTTCACATAAGACACAGATAACAAACCTCCTTGCCTCATAAAGTAAACACACATTGAGTCGAAACACGACCCTCATTTTTGTCAGTTTCATCCACTGCGGGAGTTGTCACAATTTGACTGGCATAATTGCAGTTGCTCATTCGGCACTCACCTCCTGAAGTGCGACCTCTTCCTTTCCCATCATCCTCCAGGCTCTCGCCCTCGTTTCCTGTGCTGTTCCCACGACTGTCAGCGAGGCCCGCCGGCCTCACCGGAGGCCCCGAGGCCTGGCTCGGCTGGCCTGAGGGCTTCCCATTGGTAGCATGGTCAGACCGGGGCTGCTGTGGCCTGGAGGCTTGGCCTCCATGGCCTGAACACTCAGGAGAGTTGAAAGAACTTGGCGGAGGGGATGAGCCATGTGCTTTGAGCTGGCTTGAGGCTGATTGTTTGGTGGGTGGGGAGGGCGGCACCCCTATAGATGCTTGCTTGCTCACTTCCAGATGGGAGGCTGGCTTTGTGGGCTCTTTGCTTGGAAGCCGTTTTTTAGATGTTGCATTATCTGGACTCGCCTCCTGAAGTGTGCACAATGATGCCGTTTTAGGTTCACAGTGAATGTACTCTCTGCACGCTTTCACACATGTGCTAACAGTGCACTCTACTTTCCATCGAGGCATGCAATGATTCATCCCTCGTGCAATGAATTGACTCTCAGGATTTGGGGACATGATTCCGTTTTAAGAGATTATTTTTTTCGTATCGTTTTTATTCCCATTTGTAGTGTCAAATGTGTTTGTTTCTGCTTTCCACAATGGTCATGAACATTTTGTTATTCCAATTATGCAATCAGTATCATGGTAAGATTCAAAGTATAATTCATAAGTTTTGCAAAGCAGTACATAACTTGTGAAAGAGCAGCGAACAGAAGCAAATATCAGAAGACTACTTCTGAGCTATCTTTAACTGACTTTTATCCACACTTGGGGACACTTTTCCACATGCCCTGCTATACAAATATTCATTCCATGGCAGGAAAACCAATTTTCTATTCTCAGACCAGACATTACTCAACATTAAATTAAACCTGATTTAATGTGATGGTTATGTAGTCATTGGTGAATGAGCTGAGATCCACTTACTACACTCGAAAAACCCATTTAATCACGGGTGGCTAAAAGCTGGATTAAATGGAGGATCCCTGTGGTGCTTGTTGGCTCAATGCCGACCTCTTGAGACACCCTGGCCAACTATTGTTGGATCTCTAACGTACCCGAGAAGGAGCACCCTCTCGCCGGAGTGTCACTGAAACGCCGACGGAAGGAGCCTCGTCGGAAGCGAGTGGCGGCATCTTCTGCTTAGTTTTGTTGGGAGGGACCAGGGCGAATACCCCCTCCACCGTCACAGGTCTCATGTCCACCTCTCTGCGTGCTAATCCTTCCAGTGACACCTCCGTGCTGCCTAGGGATTGCTCCCCACAACAGAGGTGAATCTGCATAAGCACAAAATACAACATTTCGTGTTGGGGGAAACAAAAAAACTCCCCCGGTGAGAAGCACGTGTGGAGCCATTGCAGAGATAGAGGTGCAGCCCTGAAATTGCTTGCTCTGCTGACAGAAAGACTCCATTAGGGAGACAGAGCCTCTCCCGCGAGGAGTCTTAGATGATGTGGCAGTAACCACAAGTACTCACACATTACCCCACCACACATAACCGGCAGCTCGAACATAAGAGGTTTTTTGCAGCCAACGTCATGATTCATAATAGATTTTTAAGTGAGACAAATATCAATTATGAATAATGTGTGGTATACCCATTTATACTCCCGGCGGGATCGAGGGAGAGTGAGATTTAAGAAACTTGCCCATTGCTTTAGCTGCCGCACCAAGAGATCGACCTAGCTACGTCTGGATTGCAAATCCAGCGTGCCAACCATGATAACCACGGCAGCTTCCCTGAGTCATAACTCTTGATATAAATAGCGTACATGTACTGGAGGCACAATATATGAGCCACATGCCAGAGTCAAGATAGAAATCCGTGGACAATGGATACAAAAGCACGCTTGTAATCAGGATCAAAAATATATTACAGTAACCAAAATCTTATGGCAATACCATAGATTAATGCACGCAACTTGAATGCCAATGTCAAGGTTTAGCACACCGATTTAAAAGAGAATGTATAGAAAGTCATATATATCACTCATAGTGATGTTGCAAAATGTTACACGTATAAACGCTGCAAAGTTGTGAATTGTGAGGGGTTGGTTGTTCCTCCTGTGTGCTTATTCACCTGTATTGGAGGCTGCAAGGAGAAGTAGCGCTGCAAAACATCAACCGTGCTCCGGATTTTAAGGGAGGCTCGCTCCGGCGAGAAGTTGGGGTTCAGGAGGTCAGTGAAGGGGTCGTTGGCGACACTGTTGCCCAGTAGGGTGTAGTAGAAGTAGAACTCAGGCTTTCCCTCCGGGAGCCGCATGCTGCTCGGCACCAGCTGCACGGGGGTTGGACGCACATGATTACAGAGCAGGTGCCGCAAGCCTACCACTTTAGAGCTTACCACCTGAGCCAATTCAAAGCCTATTATTCATCAAGGTGGGATCCAAATGAGATTATCTCTCTGTGCGAGAAAGACAAAAGAACGCAGCTGCTTTCTCTTTCTTTACGATCTGAGGTAGTAAATATTTATTTATTGTTCGGACCATCAGCATATGGTGGTTTTCTCTTGAAAGTAAAACTAAAAACTGCAGCAAAACACTGCGCGTTTTGTTAGCGCAGTGTTTTAAAATCCCTGCTAAAGGAAGATGAAACCCACGTAACTTTTATTTAATAGAAACCTAAGCTGTATGTACTGAGTTGTCCACCATAAGTTTGAAGATTTATTCATGAGCAAAAAATATTTTAAATAACAGCGAGGTGCTCCACCATCGTGTTCTTGTGTAGCCACTGCATTACATATTGATGTGTATTTCTGTCACTGGGGTGCCAAAAATACTTACTTGACTAAGAAAAACATCTAGTTTCTTATGGATGAAGTTTCAAACTCGTGTTGGATGGCCCAGGACACACACAGCCTAGGCATAAGGGTACCGGTACAGCCCTGCCAGTACTTGCTCATGCCATTTTCCTGGCGCAAAGGGAATAATAAAAGGGTATTTTGGCCTACTCTTTCACGCTCGTCATACGTTTTGGAGAGGGTGGGAGTACACACGCATCGCTCAACCACACGTAATCTGCCAATTGACTAAAGTTGACGTATCCATTTAGAAATGGGTGAGCAGAAGTGGGAGTGATTTCACTAACTTGCCCATTGTTTCAACTGCTGCACCAGGAGAAGGAACTGGCGACCTCAGGGAGGTTGGAGGTCAAGTATGCCAACTGTTACCCTGTGGCAGTGTCCTACAGCTTAGGACATATATTTATAAATGTAATTTGTTCATGCGTTGTCTCTTCTTGAAAACATAAAGTTACATGTGCAATCGACACATGTATGACCAAGATTCATTGCAGGATAGTTTACGTATTTTTGTTATTTTAACATTTTTTAATAGTATATAGGTTGTTTGTCTCTTAACTGTGATTCTTAAATATGTGTTAGTTTTATCGTTAGGTTAGCAAACCTTAGTCTGATCTCCAGTTGCCTGGGTGGAAAAGTGGGCTAAAGTTTTGCCCAATCCACGACAGCTGGCTCCAAACCTTAATGAACTAACTAACCAATTCCCTGTGAATAAAAAAAATACCTGTTCTAAATGAGCTGCAAATGCAATGGTGACTGACACCACGTAGATATCAGTGGCCTGGCGGGATGGACCTATCCAGTAGAAGCCTTCCTCCTCATCCAGCACGGCCGTCAGAGCCTTGGCGTTTGGAATGCGTGCTGCACACCACAAAGTAAAATGCAAAGCTAATGTCACACATTAAGTCGCTAAATTGTGATTAACTTAAAACATTAAGTTAAAGCTTCACGCAATAAAGACGAGGAAAAGTTATTGTTTTGGTTTTGCTGAAATGTTCACATCAATAGTGAGAAGATTTAAGTTTGGGTCAAACATGTAGATAAGGACCTATAGTACAGCTGTCATGTTTATGATCTGAGAAATATGCAACATAGCAAGGAATATGCAAACACAAATACAGAAAAAGGTTTCTTACCAGAAAGAAGCATTAGCTTAGTTATAGAAAGAGGCGATTTAAGAGCTTCATTGTCAGATTCCATTGAAAGAAGTAGAGGAAAGACACAAAAGAGCATTACACGTTGAAGGGAAAATAAGGCGTAGAGAAAATTTTATGAATATTTATCTCAGCATTAATTGTTAAATACCGTTAAATGGAAAAAAAGACAACTCACAATATTTTACACACAGGTATAATCAAGCATGTAAAATTAAGAAATGTGTATTGAGTCCAACTGAGTCGCAGACGTTCTCTTCGGGAGCAACACTTTTATTAAACTATTTGCACAACAAACGCCAGGCTATTAACACAACATACTCTCGGATGGTGACCACCCAACTAACCACGCTACGGAGGAACTAGACACGGTTCCACTATCCCGGTATGGACCACAAGCTGGGTCCCGGACCGTGTGGCTGGAGGCTTCTTCAAGCTTGATGTGGATCTCCTGCCTCTCCAACAGTAAGAACCCCGAGCCCCTCACAGGGCCCCCCCCCTTATATTGGGCCGGCTGGGGCTGGCTCCGCCTCTCGCCCCGCCCACCTTCTCGATCACTTTCGCCCTTGCCCAAAGGCTCTCGAGAGTTCTTCCCGGACCATGTGACCACCCATTGGCCCCCTCCACCGGTGGCCCCTGTCCAGTATCATCCGGTCACATGTCCCCAGGTCAGCTAGAGTAGCATGCCCCCAACGTAACCCTACCTGGCTGACACTCTCGCTCTCTCAACGGGAGCCCGCACCGCACGCTGTGCATGGTGCCCCCGCGCTTAACCAGCGCTCACCCAAGCCCCCACTAGGGCTGGTACTACATCCTGTGTCCGGGGTGTACACACAACAGTATACATCCCACCGTGGCCTCGTAGGCCCGGCACCACACAGTGACATTCCCAGTCACTACAAATGTAATATGAATTGTTATATATAACCTGAGTGTATCCCTTTACTTAGTGAACATTTAAAAAAAATCATGACAATGGCATTTCCTTCAGCAGATGCTCCTGGAAAGCTCTGTAAAAGCCAACATGATCTGATGCAGGCCTGCCAAGGTTCAATCCAAGACTATCTCGTTTTAATATAAATTTTGCCATAGCACTACCTCTTCTTTTTTATTTAATTTTTATTACTGAAAGAACCAATAATAAGTCTACATTATAGGCTGCCAGTACACTCACCCAGCTTAATAACCATTCCTACAGTCAACATTATAGACTACCAGTCCACTCACCAAACTTAATAATCAGGCTACAGTCTACATTAGTGTTTTCTCTTTTTTATTCAATTTATTTTATTATTATTTTTCTATCTACATGACTTTACTGAAAAAAAATCGCCATGTGAAATACTTCACCTACATGACGATGGGCGAAAAGGGCAGCCCACGGTGGCAAAGCATGAAGGGCGGGGATTGTTGGTGTGCACACTGCTAATGCAGTTCACATACCGTCTCTCGGTGGAGCGTCTCTGGCCCGGAATGCGTCTGGCTGTGCTTTTGAGTCGTTTTCCAGCAGCACCCCAATCCGGAGCTCTGGACGTGTCTTGGCATACTTGCTGCTCAACAGTGGGTACCACTTGGGTGGCTAAAAATATTTAAATAAATATAACTGGCAGCACATTCTACCCACTATGACATGCGTTTCCAAGAAACGTGATCATTTAGAAAAAAGCAATGGAAGGTAAATTGAAAAGTGCACAAAATACATGAAGAGATGCATGCTGGGAAATACAGTGAGAGACGGGAGGAGGGATGCATTGATTAGAGAACTTGGTGCAGGTTAAAGACAATTCAAACTGCTAATAAGAATAAGTGGGTTTGGACAAGACACATCATGGCTAGAGGGGACAATAGCAATGGTCAATAGTGAAAGATGTGGTAGGAATGGAATGTGTATGAAAGTACACCCACTGAGGAGATGGAAAGGTGAATTTTTACATTGCTGCATCATGAAAAACAATGGCAGCTTCGAGAGGCCTTCATCTGACAGTGGATTAACTATGGTTGATGATGATAATGGTAGTGATTAAAATTGTTTACAGCAATTCACTTGCTTGCCTCTATATTAAACGGAAATGCTTTACAAGTAAATTATTTCCTCTAAATAAAAAAATAAATCATACACAGTGGCACCAGTTGTCAGACTAATAAAGAGTCTCTGTAAAAACAGAATGGACAATGCACAGTATTCTGTTCTTGGCTTTGGCATGAAAAGATAAATTGGTAGCCCGTACCTATGAAAAAAATGGCAAAAAACTTCAATTAATAGGAGCAGATTTTCTGGAACAGATTGTGCTAAAAAAGTTATGTAAAAAAACACCTTGAACAATTGTAAATTATACTATAGTCATTCAAAAATGTTAATGTAATGGTAATACCCTTCATTTATCCAAGAACTGTCAAGACTCTTTCAGGAAGGTCCTGCAATGTGATGTTTGTCCAATATCATTTGTGAATATTGGCACATGGGAGGAAAGTAGAATATCTGGAGGAAACCCCAACGCATATGAGATGGTAACGCTCAAAGTTCAACAGAAAGACTCAATAATTAACTGCTGTACCTGCATATATTGCACACTTCACAGCTTCAGCCTGCAACTCTTGATTTTTCCAGCTAGTCTCCAAATCCAAGTACTAACCAGGCTGAACCCTGTTTCGCTTTTGAAATCTAACAAGATCAGGTGCATTGCAGGGTAATTAGGTCACAGGCAAATGTAGCTTTGATTGTTGCACTGGCACAAACTTCAATTCACTCCAGATTTCTGAGATCCTATATTGCCTAAAGTATTTACATAAATGTTGCGCATGAGGTCTGTCAATTACTTTTACAATTCTTTCAGTAATTTATAAACAGTTTATAGTAGCTTTTTTACTTGCCACAGATTAAAACCTGGACATTATTCTTCTCATGCAAAACAATAATTCTGTAAAAATAATAATTTACAGTCGCTTGTCAATCCACTGTTGGATGAAAGCCTCCCCACTCCATGTCAGTCATGGGGTTTGTTGACCATACTTCACCATGCCTGTCAGTACAAGTTGGTGAAGGGAGGAGACCTGAGGACACATTCAGATATTACTCACTTCCCAATGTTAGCCGTGGCCTGGAATTGAACTCAGGTGGTTGGGTTCATAATGCAGCGCACTAACCACTGCAACACAATGAGGCTCTTACCGTCGGCTTTTCTTGAACGGACCTAAGATCAAGGACCACGTAGCCAACTGGCTCCTTTGCAGATGGGGAATCCACGGCGAAGCACTGCAGCTTGATCGGAGTCCTCTGCAGCCTGGAAAAAGGATATAAAATGTGCCATTGTTCCGCAAAGAAAAGACAAGCAGAAAAGTAGCTTAAATCATAAATTTAATAGAAGTAAAAAATAATAATGTTGTGATCGATTGCGTTTATTTTCACAGTTGTAACTATGCAGCTCTGCAATGTGCTTTTCTGGTAGGACTGCATGTTTTTCGGTCCTTGATGTCCGACGTTTCGCTCCCAGCATGGGGGGCGAAATGTTGGACATAATGCCAAACGTGTGGTACAACTCAAATATAAATAGGACATCACGAGTTATATTTCAATAGTATAACTAGTAAGGGTGGAATGATTTATCCCCTCCATCTCTCGGCGAATCCATACATTGTGATTCCGGGTCATGAAATGAATTAGAATTCAAGAATCAAATGATTATTTTTACAATGCAGAGAATGGCATCACCTCCAATGGCTTAAGGGGCCACGTGAACCAGTTACATATTACGTATGTGAATAACAATCAATTCCTGTGCAATTCTATGCACGTATTGCAGGCTTAAGAAACAATAGCACGTAATCAATAAATCTTTGTATTTTTCCAACCCTCATAAATACTTTGTAAAAATAACCACTTAAATAAACGTGGTGACTATGATCACAGTATTGAATAACCCTCTTTCTGAAGCAAGCCTCGTTCCAGGAACGTCAAGGTGTGATCATCCTTCACGTAGACGAGACGTCTGGTGCAAGTGGGCAGCAGCTGATGTAAAAGAGTAATTGCAAGAAGTGTTGCTGGAGCATAATGTGTGATGGATGTAGGCATTTAAAAAAAACCGATGCTACCATCAAGTCGCTTGCCTATAATACTAATCCTAACCAATATCCCTACTGCTGAAGCCTGGGAATAGTTGTTACATTTACTGGTTTACACTGCAACTTCGGCTCAAATCATCCATCATTTCAGGTACACCAAGGAATACAGCCTAGCTCTTTCGGAAGCCCCCCGTTGTGGGATTGCAGGCTGTGTAACTGCTCGCCATGATTAGCCCTGGGCCGAACTCACACTAGTGAGCCTTGTTCACCGTGATGTGGTTTAACCAGCTGTCTGTTGGAGGAGGCAGATCCCCATGGGATTATAGGGCTCAGAGAGGTGAGTGGGGTGGGAGGTCACATGGGATTGGTGCACAGCTGGGACGTATAGATTAATAGAGAATCTCAATGTACAGGCATACCTACTATAGTGCTCAGGATGCATTCTTGGGAATCGGAGTAAGTAAAACCTTGGATTGCGAGTAACTTGGTCTGCAAGTGTTTTGCATGACGAGCAAATTTTAAAAAATAAATATTCATTTGATAAACAAGCGAGGTCTCGCAATACGAGTAGTACGTATACGCTTTGTCTGCCGAGCATCACGTGATCACAACTGATATACGAGTGCTTTGATATACGAGTTCTTTGGATTACAAACACGTTTCCGGAACGAATTATGCTCGCAATCCAAGGTTTTACTGTACTATATAGGAAACAGCGCTATACGAGGTCATTATAGCATGGTTCCAATGGAAATGCGTTCCCGACCGCTACATTTTTACCTATGAGCGATATATGAGGGCTTCATTGGGGTATCGATAATCGCCATAATGATACTGTACACATGATATATGTATGAAAGAATTTTATAAATAAAAACGAAAAATTGTATTGATGACATAAAAATACAAAACGTTATGTGCTGAGGAGTGCATTCAGTCAGAGCTTGTGCAAGATGAAACACCGTCTGTTAAAACACACACGTTTCGCGGGAAGATATACAGTACTAAACAATGGGACTACTCGATCCATCGATCGCCAATGCATTTATGCAATGATTAACCCTCGATGAATCAATACTCTAACGTGGCTGTTGGATCGACTTTGAGCAGAATTGAAACAATTGACACCTCGATTCAGGTTCCACAAGACCACATATGGTTAAAGACAAGCCCGTACGGGGCAATGCCGCACCTGCTTTCTTCCATAAGGACTGGCCCGCATAGGGAACTTACTCCAGGACAAAGAGCGTTAGAACGAAAGAGCGTCATATGCATGCAATGAGTGCTAACTGAAAAGGGTGTGAGGGAGAAATGCATAATTGGAATTACATTGAGAAAGAGAAACACACGGATTAGAGGACATGCAACAGTTGGTCTGAAAATTCCACACAAATCCGTGCTTGTTTGTTTATAAGTCCATTGTCTCTCCTCCGTCCACTATGGGCAGGAATTCCACACAACTCTCTCCTTGTTCTCTACCCCAATCCCCCTCTCTACCCCCGCCTCTCTATTTAAGGCCTCGAAACAGAGGTGTTGTCTCTCTGTCTATGTTGTGTCTCTCTATGTGTGTCTCTGTGTTGTCTCTATCTGCTTGTGTCTGTGTCTCTGTGTCTGTGTCTCTGTGTCTGTGTTTCGTCTCTCTCTCAAATTAAGCAATCTTTGGAAGAACGTAATCAAGCAGGTAGGCTGTTGACTGTTGTGTTAGCCGATTTTCTGTGTTGAATTGCATTATATTTCTTAAGTTTACTATGTTTGTTTTCTCATTCATTCTTAACTGATGATGGTTGCTTGTGTTGCAATCGAAACGTCGTATTCTATTATTATTTAATTGATTTTCTTTCTACGTGACTTTACCGAAAAAAAACAAAGAGTCAGTACTGCAGTCACGAAAGCTTCAAATCTAGTTTGGATACATCATGTTTATCATTTACAAAAGTAATGAGGCTTGTACAGGAGGGATGATGGCTGGTGATCAAGACAGCCCCTACTCCCGAGATGTAGTGATGAAATTATCTCGTGTGCAGGAGCTAGAGAGGTTCTTTCATCACAGGACCATGACAGATAGTGATGGCTTGGGGAGGTGTTTATTCATCATTGGATTCAACATCGCTGATGATAATGACGATGGTTATTGAAAGGCTGGGATGATTCAAGGTACTGGCCTGACTTGCTACCCACTTTTACCTTTATCTGGGCTAGCAGCTATAAAAAACACAGGGTAATCAATTTACAAATACCCCACAAATACGCTTGGGTGAATTGAATGCGAAAACTAATTTGTATTTCAAATTGTCTACATGTCACCGACGAATATCAATAAACAAATGACATCTGTCAATACTCTTTCAGATATGGAGCCATCACTTTCACAATATTCAGTCAACCGTTGATAAGAGGCTGGGTCATTTGAAATAAATACAGTATCTATAAATTCATCACCCAGGACTGTGTTGTGACATCTTAAGTACGACTTTGTAAACTCAACTATTTTTTTATTTAACCAGGTAAGGCCCACTGAGTTCTAGATTTAAAGCTTTCATGAATGCAATGATCCATACTCTTTGGTTCTATTCGGTAAAGTCACGTAGGTAAAAAATAAAACAACAAAAGTCACGACGTTTCGGCCACAACACAAGGCCGCTTGTGTTGTGGCCGAAACGTCGTGACTTTTGTTGTTTTATTTTTTACCTACATGACTTTACCGAATAGAACCAAAGAGTAAGGCCCACTGAGCTACATAGCTCTTTTTCAGAAGCAAGTTGACCACAAATGATCACTCAACTTAGTGGCTTATCTTGTGGAAATGTATTGCAGCCATATACTCCAAACATGTGTTTCTAAATGTGGAAAAACTGGAGGACCTGAAGAAAAATCCACACGACCACGCGAAGAACATGCACACTCCAAATATACAGGTGTCAGAGTCGGGATCACCCCCACGACCTCCCGTATAAGAGTCCGTTAACATCTCGCCAGTAAGTTTAATAGCCAAAGGACAACCTTAGAGGAAGCTCTAGGGATGTATTGAGTTATATTATGATTCTAAAACGTATTAAAGGAATTATTAAACGTACAAAATGATGGTGGGACAAAAAGTGAGGTGTTTGGAGGTGCTCTCTGTACCTGTGTTGGTGCAGCGACTTGCGGTCCAGCTCCCAGGCGAGCTCGGTGGCGAACTCGGGCTGCTCCAAGTGCTCAACGGGGTCTGTGAAGAGGCTCTCGCCATCGAACCTGGCCTCCACCACGAGCTGGTGCCGCAGACGCTTGGGAAAGCGGCGCCCTTGGATGGGGCAGGGCAGGGAAGAGAGGAAGGGCATGGGCAGGGCAGAGGCAGGGAGAAGAGCAACGGTGGGTTATGGTAGAGGGCCCAGCACGGTTGGCTACGTATGGTGTGAAAGAAGTTATATATATATACAGTACACAGCAGACGTGCATCACTCATTGAGACCCGATTCAGCATCAATAAGCATTGCATGTAGAGTATTTGCTTAAAACAAATTCAGTTTCTTTCCTTGAATAAATGATGCCAAGTCAAATTGGTCTGTGATATCAGTAGGCTGATGAACTAAAACATATCTGTATTTATGTGTGGCATGAGAACATAGTTGTGCTTATATACGGTTTCTCTGTGGGTCACTTTTTAAAGTTTTCAAATCGTAGTTATCGTGTAGACTATAGTTTGTTCACGGGTTTTTATTTACAGTACTCTACAGTATATGCAATGTATTGTACTGGACTTTTTCAATGCACCGCTGAACGAAGGGCTCCTCACGTATTTCAGCCATACTTCACGCCAGTCAAAGCATGTTGAAGGGTTATGTATTTGGTTAAACACGTAGGCTTTCGCGACGAATATCATCCATAATTCAGTTTTTTTTGGGGTAAGATCGCGTAAATATAAATGTGTCGTTAAACCCGCCACCACCCCACACAGCCAATTAGTAAGGTTTGTCACGTAAACAGAACATGTCAATTCGTTACGAGTACAGCACACCAGTGTGTTGGAGTGCAAATCCACAACATTTATGTTAAAAAATATTCTGTACTGTACGTGCAAAATAGCCCAGTATACAATACAACCACTTATACATTGTGTGGTTGGTACCGTGGCCGCTATTCATGGCCCGAGAACAAACGTTTCAGCCCCTTCTATATTCATGGCTTTAAATAAGAACGTTCTGCATTAAGACGGCATTGCTCAACTAAATACTGTGACCGGTCT